CATCACATGATTATTTGACATGCCAGTACAACACTTTCTTACACAATTTTATCTTATATAAGAATTTAAAGCCATGCATGTATTTTATTTCCTCGAGAAATGATATTTAGTAAAAACAACTTTTCATACGCAGTAATATTCTGACGTTTGTCTTGTCTCAACATGGTTGTGACGTCTACCACAGAATTGATGGAAATGTGCTAGATGTGACAAGCCGTTGGCCGCTGTAAATGCATATAGTAGGCCATAATAACCGATTTTTAACCATTTACCTAAAATATCTTGTTAAAGGGTTTTTAAAGCGCGTCTTTTTGGTACTTCTGTTCCTCTTCTACTGATACGGATAGTTGAAAGTGTAATATATACGCAGAGTATATTCCTTTATGAAATTGTAATATAAAGTTTTTCATGAATCTCTCAAATGTAGTATGATTGTAAGGTATACTACCAAACACACAAGACACGGTGCATTTTTCACGTGTGTCCTACATGTAGGACAAGACACCACACCACAAATTTCTTCATTGCTTGCGACGTACGTCTTGAGCACGCACGTCTCACTTGCGATCTCCTTGCGAGAGGAGCAAGATACGCTTGTGCCTCGCTGTTCGCAGATTATTCGTAGAATCTTTTGGACATGTCAAATATCCTCCGTACGTGCTTACGGGCTGTCTACGAACTCCAAATTTCGCAAAAAGGACTTGCGCGGCACGTGAGATTCTGCGTAAATTTAGACGCAAACAGGCCGTAAGAGCCCGTACGGCCGGTTGTGACCGAGGCTTTAGAACTTGCTGGCCCAAAGTAAAAGGTCTCGAATAATTATCAAAATTGGGTAAACTTTTGCAGATTAATGTGATTTCGGAGGAGATGAAAGTCCTGGAATCATGATGAAGACAAATATTGAATATACTTGCTTCATCTTTGTAGTGCTTACATTTTATTTGTACCTTTGTCAGAATATTACTTCGTAGCTGCTAGAGAGAGAAGCTATTTCTACATGTACATAAAATTAAAACTGCAAATGAGCAAAAA